GCACGCACATCCCCAACATGGCTCCCGAGAACCGCTGGATCCGCCTGCCGGCAGCCAGGCGGGAGCCTGCGCGCGCCCGCCGCCGCCTGGCATCCGGCACAGGCCACGCGCGCGGATTACCCTGCACGCGATGCCCCGGGAGCCCAGGGCCAGCTAGCTGCTCCTGCCCAGCTTGAGCCTTGAACCCAAACGACTTGTGCCAACATGGCTGCGGATGGAGAGACGCATGCGGCGGCGGCCACTGGGGTCTTCGGTGGAGCTCCTTCTCGGGGTGGGCGAGATGCATGCGTCTGCGGCCGCTGGGGCCTTCGGTGGAAATCCCTGTGAGGCCACGAAGCGCTGTACTGGGTTGGGAAGACGCATGCGGCCGCGGCCACGGGAACCTTCCCTACTGGGCCACGAAGCGCTGTACTGGGTGGGGGAGACGCATGCTGCTGCAGCCACTGGGGCCTTCGGGCGCAGGCGCATACGAACTCTCACTCTGGGGCCTTCTGTCGAGCCCCCTGTAGGCCACGAAGCTGCACAGAGTGGCGCGGACGCATGCGATCGCTCCCTCGGAGGCCTCGGTGGAGCCTTCTGTGTTGTCACTAAAACGTCGTACTTCGTGGCGCAGACGTGTGCGAACGCTGCCTCTGGGGCCTTCGGTGAAGACCTCTGTGGAGCCGCGAAGCGCTGTGCTGGTCGGCGCGAACGCATACAAACGCTCCCTCTGGAGACTTTGGTGGAGCCCCCTATGGGGCCACGAAGCGCTCGACGGGTTTTCCGACATGGCTAGCGTGTGGAGGGCAGAGGCAGGGATGGGAGGAGGGAGAAGGGGTAGGAAGGAACGCGGGGCGAGGTCTCTTCAAAACGGGGGCCCAACACCGCAGGATGGTTGGGAAAAATCCTCCTCCTCCTTCTTCCTCCTCCTCCTCCTCCTCTTCCTCCTCTTCTTCCTCCCCCTCCTCCTCCTCCTTTTAAGTCCGCCGGCTCCCGCCCGCCATCCGCCAGCAATTGCGCCCGCGGTGCTGCCCTCCTGTTTTGCTCCCGCCAGTCTCTGCCACCCTCCGCCGTCAGAGAGGAAGGCAAGACCTCCATATGCTGCGACGAGCGCAGGCCCTTTCACCCCCCCCCATTCCTACTGGTATTGGCGCGGGGGTTACCAAGGGGATGGGGGGCTATCAGTGGACGCCAAAGGGGTTATACATGGCCCAAGTGGCTTGGGGGGGTTAGACAGCTCCGCCAAGTGGTCGGAGCCCACTTAGCCTGGATCGCTATCCCCCCAAGCCCCTTGGGGCATTAGCAACCCCGCAATAAGCTAGCTTGGGCCAGGTTAACCGCTTTGGCGTCCACTCATAGACCCCTTATCCCCTTAGCAATCCCCGCGCCCATCCCAATAAACTTCCGGAGGTCCTCGCAGATTTCTCGGACCGTCGCCGGAACCTCCTCCCTGGCGCGCGGAGCGCGCCAGGAGCGGCGCCGGAGGCGCCGCCAGGGGGGCCCAAGCGCCGAACCAAGGGAGCACTGGAAAAAGATCTGGCTGCGCAGTTGCTTATTTTTCTGATGTTTCTTCTTCTTTCTTCTTCGATGCGTGCGCCCTTCGGCCCCTCGTTCCCACACCCCCGGCATCATCTTTTTTTCATAGCGTCGACCCTCCGAGGTCTCGACCCATCCCCCTGGACCGGATTTTCATCCCGAGTCGTTTGTGGACGGCCCCGAGGGCCGGCAAGGGCCTCCCGAAACCGAATTTTTGGAAACGCCTCCCGTCGACCCTCCGAAGTCTCGACCCATTCCTCTGGACCGGTTTTCCATCCTGAATCGTTTTTGGACGGTCCCGAGGGCCGGCAAGGGCCTCCCGAGGCCGGAAATTTAGAAAAACCTCCCGTCAAAATTTTTCTTTGCCCGCTGGTCGAGGACTGGTTCAAGAAGGGTGATTTCGACGGTTGCTGGAGTGCCTCAGGTCGTGCTGGAGTGCCCGAGGTCGGGCTGGAGGGACTTCGAGTCCAGCGAAACCAACCTTGTCCAACGAACCCTTCTGGCAGCCTCCGAGCGGGGGTCTGAGATCCTCGAGCGCGACGCCGGCTGGAAGCCAAGAGTGTCAGCTCGAGGCCCCCGTGTCGTCACGACCGCTGCCAGGCCCCCTTCGGGGCGGCATACAGTGCTGCTGCGACGGCATTTCCCTGGGCGGCTGGGGCTAACCCCGCCCTCAGAGGCGGCATGGCAGGGCTCCCCCCGCATCTATATATATATATATATAGAGAGAGAGAGAGAGAGAGAGAGAGAGAGGTGGCCTTCAGGTGGCCCCCGCGGGGGGGGATGAGGAGTAAGAGGAGGAGGAGGAGGAGGAGGAGGAGGAGGAGGAGGAGGAGGAGGAGGCGGAGGCGGAGGAGGAGATCGAGGAGATGGAGGAGGAGAAGGAGGAGGAGGAGGAGGAGGCGGGGGAGAATGTGGCATATAGAGGATGCCCTTTGAGTCGGCCCCAGATGGCCTCGACGACGGCCACTGAGGGCCCAAGAGGCGCCCGAGTGTTCCCAAGATGCCTCCAAGACGGCCCAAGAGGGCCGCAGAACGCTCCAAAGTGTGGCCACGGGGAGGGTAGGGCTGGAGAACGAACGTGCGCGACAGATAGCCTGGCCCCCAGACTTTGTCCCATGTCCGCGTCGGGCGGGTGTGAGGCAAGGGCTCAGCAGAGCCGCGCGGCTGCCTGGTGACACTATGCACCCAGGGTCGTCGTCGATGACTTCGCCGTTCGGGTCGTTGTACTCCAGGCTCCCGAAAAGGCAGAACACCATCTTCTTCACCTCCGAGCTGGAGAAGAGAAGGGGGGCAGAAAAAGAAGATAACAAAAACATAAACGTAAACGTGTTGCTCTCCGCGCAGATTTCTTGGATCTGCGCTGGACCCCCCCCCCTGGCGCGCGGAGCGTGCCAGTGGCGGCGCCGGAGGCGCCGCTGGGGTGGCGCAGCGCGGATCCAAGAAATCCGCGCGGAGCGCCAAACGTTTATGTTTATGGCGTCTTTTCCTCTCCGAAGAAAGAAGGAAATTAATACAGAGGGAGGGAAGCGAGAGAAGGGAGGGAAGGGAGACGAATGGGGGATGCGGGTGGTGGGGGGGGAATCCGCCGACCCCCGCTTGCGGGGGGTGAGAAGGCGTGTGAGACATTTGACTGTCCCCCGTTGTCGTGTCGTTGTCGTTGTCGTGTCGCCTGTCGGTGTCGTGTCGTCTGTCGTCCCCGCCGCCGAGGGCCCCCAGAAGCGAAAATCGTTCCATTCCGACAGGCACAAGTAAATGTTTAGCATACTCGCCTTCTTCGTCCTGACACCGTCAAAGACGGCCCAGGAGGTTCCCAGGATCCCCAAGACGGCCAATGAGGCCCCCAAAGAGCCCCATGACAGCCTAAGAAGGCCCCAAAACGGACGCAGGTGCCCCCCAGACGGCCGAAGAGAGCCCCAAGAGGGCGGATACGAACTGACATGGCCAGCCGTCTCTGGCGAGCCGTCTCCCCAAAAATTACCCCAAGAGCCCCCCCCGACGCCCCCGAGGCGCCCACGAGAGGCTCCAAGAGGCCCCAATGGGGTCCCCAAGAAGCTCCCAGGAGGCCCCCCAGATGCCCCCAAGCGCCCTCCAAGAGGCCCCTGAGAGGCATCCCACGAGCCCCTCACGTGCATCCAAGAAGCTCCTGGCCCGCCAGATAACTTCCAAGATCGTCGCAAACACTCGCACCTTCTGGGCGGTCGGCGGAATGGCGTACGCCACTTGAATATCGGGGGGGAGGCGGGGTAGGAGGAGGCGAGGGACGTGAGGGGGACACGGTGATGGAGGAAGGAGGGGGGAGAGGGAGGAGGAGGAGGAGGAGGAGGAGGAGGAGGAGGAGGAGGAGGAGGAGGAGGAGGAGGAGAGGAGGAGGAGAAAGAGAAGGAAGGAGGGACAGGAGAAGAGGAGAGGGGAGGGAGAGCAGGAGGGGACAAGGCGGCCGGCAGCCGCGTCGCCCCTCACATCCTCACTGCCTTCCCTCCTCCGTAGGCTCCTCCTCATTTTGTTACCTCCTCCCCTCCGCCCCTGGATGGGTTTTCAAGTTCTCTCGATCACGATGCGGAACTTGAGACTCATATGCGAGCCTGAGGTGAATGGCAGATTTCTGGTTCTAGTCTGATCTGGCGCGCGCGCGATTCCGATCCGGCTCCAACTTTTCGATCCGAAAAGAAATGGCGCCCTCCTCCACCTCCTCCTCCTCCTCCTCCTCTTTCTCCTCCTCCTCCTCCTCCTCCTCCTTCTCCTCCTCCTCCTCCTCCTCCTCCTCCTCCTCCCTCCTCCTCTGTCTTCCCAGAATTTACAATATCCATTATGCGTCCTCCGCCTTCTGCTGTGCTCAATCCTACGCTCCCTGCTCGGCTTTCCTTCCGTGCCCCCTCCTGTCCCCTTCTCTCCCTCCTCAATCCCATATCCTCCTTACCCGAAGTCGGCCCCCGTGCGTTCTTCCTTCTCCCTCCTCGTAATCCCCTCCAACCTCGTTCCTTCCTTCTTCATTTGTCGACCCTCCCGCCTAACCATGGGGTGTTCGGGGCCCGTGCCCAATCACAAAGAGATGGTCGGAAAGAGAGACCCCCCAGAGGAACGCGATCGAAGAACACGTGGGCATGCACCGAGGCTGTGGGGTACATGTGTTGAGTGGTGCACGATCAAAGATGAGGGTATCGCTATAATCCAGGGCACGTGCTGCAACAGGCTTTCGCAGAGGGCGGATGCCGACGCAGCACATGCAGTACGGGTGTGGCAGGGGCCACTGCAAGACCCTGCGTCTGTTCAACACCGAACTTATGACTACACGTCGGTCGGAAGAAGTCGGTGTACACATGAAGTAGGAACACTGATAAAGTACATAGGATTCAGGCCCAACCAGAGAATAGCATAACACAGCAACAGTATCTCGATTCTTGAAGTATGGCGCTTGAAGTAGTTCGGGATCTGGAAATCAAGAAATACCTACTTTCAGCGACCGACGTGTATGATGCATTGGACCTGGTGGAGCTGATTGTTAGTTCCTTAGGGGCGTCGCCCCACGACCACACAATTACCATGGAAGAAGCGGCGGGCCGCTTTCCTGGAAAAGCCGACGGGAAGTCAAACATTGCGACTGGTCTGGAAACCCACGTACGTCGACTCTTCCCACTTACCAGCTCGCTCGATGCAAGTCCAGGGTTCAGACTCACCAATCCAAGAAATCTCTGGGATCGAATGGCAACAGCTATACACTGACACCGGTCTCGGCCAGGCCAATCGTGGGCACACGACGTGTGTGTACGCCCTTCTGGCCTAGCATGGGCGTGAAATACACCGATCTTGAACGGGCGCCTGGCCAAGATCGTTGCCGGTAAATGGGGGAACCAGAAGGTACAAACACCTCTACTTTCCGGACCTCTCCTGAGGTGCGTTCTGACAAGACTTTCGAAGCGAATCCAGCGGTGGCGACAAGAGCCTCCCAGGAGGCCCAAACGGAGGAAAACGATGCAAGGGGACACCTTTCCCTCTTCTGAATACAGTTGTCGTCTTCCGACCGGGGAGTGCTGGGCGGCCGCGAGAAGATGCAGCTGAGCGGAGGCACCACGTACGACTCGTTGCGCAGCCCAGTACCTGTCGGGCCGCAGCGCTTGTGTGCCCCGACGCCGCGGCACGTGCTGCGACTACGACCGAGGATCCGCTCTGCACACCCTGCAGGTTCTGAGGCTTGGGGCCGAGACGCCCACAGTCAAAGCTGATAGTAAGAATGCGCGATAAGGGTCCAAGTGCCTTGGAAGGCCATGCCGAAGCTTTTCGAGCGGGGCTTGTCATCGACAGTAATCAAGAATACACCCAAGAGACAAGGATGTAAGGGTACCCTTGGGAAGGCTACCCATCCTTATCATCGGTTCCGACGGTATAACGACTTCGACCAATTCCACACAACAACATCTTTTCTAGATATCATCCGCACAACTCTGGATTGCCTCAAACGTCCAGTCGTGTGCTTGTGCTGAAGGCCTCCAGGTGACGAGAGGAGCACCTCCAAGCCAATCAGCCCGAGCCCAAGTGGGTTGCAGCGCCGTGCCACATCGAAACTCACCCACCGCGCAGACAAGGTTCCCCAAACCCGCGATGTCGTGAACTTTTCATGACGTGCCCCCCAGGAGCCTGGACCCCTTCCAAAGGACCAGTTTTCATCCCGAATCGTTTTTTGACAACCCCGAGGCCCGGCGAAAACCCCTGGACGCCGAAAATAACGAAAAACGTCCCGTCGTGATACTTTCACAACGCGAGGAGGCCTGGGTCACGCGGCTCAAACGACTCTCATCCGCGATGCATACCATTCGTGGTTACTGATGCCGCAATGCCTCACACCACGGACCCCCCCCTTTGCGGGGCCCACGAGAGCGACCTGGGGAGGAAGCACGAAAAAACGCCTCCAACAGGGCTCCCACCACTGGCTGCCACTGGCCACACCAAAAAATACCGACGCCGCTGATCCCCTGACCTCTCCAGGGGCGCGTTCGGACCGCAATTTCGAAGCGAAGCCAGCGGTGGTGCCTCCAAGGAGGCCCAAAGAGGCGAACAAAAACTGGTCAACGGGCGGGGCATCGGTAACTGTCCCTCCTCTGAATCACAGGGTATCGCAAGTGTAGCAGAAAAGGCGGTAAAACTGTTTCCGAACGGCGCGGCGAACCCCCTTTGAAGGTCCGCATTGGTTCCCAAGATGTCATCGGGGGCCAACAGGGCTCCCGAGGGGCACAAAGCATGCCCCAGAGAGGCATGAGCAATCGAGAAGACGGCACCTTCTGCTGGCGCGCGCATAATGGCAGCCCAAAAACCAAAACTTCCCAAGAAACAGCCAGACACCAGCCACACCCCACCTAATCCTGAGAGGTCTTTAGACCCTTCCCACCAATAGGGGATAACTCTTTTTTTGTCCGCGGCACCCTCCTCCTCCTCCTCCTCATCCTCCTCCTCATCCTCCTCCTTATCCTCGTGTCATTCCTAAGGAGGAGGAGGGGAGGAGGAGGAAGACCTGAGGAGGAGGAGGAGGAGGAGGAGGAGGAGGAGGCCCGATCCCATCTGGCCGGTCATCCGAGGCGCCCGCACCTGCCAGAAGCCCTATCGCCGCGCCAGAGTCCTCGCCCTGGCATCCCTTCGGCAAATCAGGCGGAACCGGCCTGCTGCAAGCCGTATGGCTCGCGAAGCGCTTTGGGCCCCCTCGGACCTGAGCTGAGTAAACGTGTTTAAAAGAACATCGAGTGCTATGGCGATGGAGACGGCTTCTTCGGACGAGAGAGGCAAAGGAAAAAGAAGGAGCCCAGCAAACACCTCCGCCCCCCACCAGGGTGGGAGCCTAGGCAGATTAGCACGCATCACTCCAAGGAGAATAAGGCAGACAAGGTAGTGCACGATCTGGTCGCCAGCAATACATTGGCATCCGAACCTGCAACCCAGGGTGGCCTGGCGGTATCTCCGTGAGGTATTCCAAGCATTACATATACTGCGCAACAGACTGAGTTGAACAAGGGGTGCAATATGCTGGCCGATCAGTTTTAGCCGAGAGAAACACATATGGGCTTCGGGAGCCCCAACTTGGCCAACTTCAGGAAACCTCGAGGCCCAATGCTGAAGACGCCTCAGAATAAGCTCAGGAAACGGAACCAGGGGCTGATGTGAGAGAACAAGCTTGGTCATTTTCTTCTGAAGCCCATGCTCGAAGACGGTGGGGGCGGTCGGGATTCTGGATAACTCGCGATAGTTCTGGGCCATCATTAATACGAAAGACTTGGTATAAACGGGATGTAGATGGGCATCCAGGTGGCATTCGGGGTCATCGAACGCGTCCTCAATTTTCTCGATGCAGGCGAAAAAGACCGACGAGGCGAGGGTAGCACGATATGCTGCTGCACGAGTTTCGCGTGTGAGAGACCTGGCCCGAGATAGCTTTCCCCCGAGGGACTTCATTCCCACCAGCATGCGATCAGAAAGGGCATGCCGAGGAGCACATGTTAAAGATTGCAGACCGAAATGCACTTGCCAACAGCGGTCGGCCGCGGGCGGAAAGAACTCGGCGATGTACATGAGCACAGTGACCACTATCTGGTTCTACGCCACGAGGGACATCGATATGCCTAACTTCAAAGACTTAAATGAAGCGGCAGCGGTCGCGGAACTTGACGAGTGGAGCGGCCCAAGAATCCTCTTGGGCCCTGATCCCACACATCACTCCAAGATACTTGGCACACTTGGACATCCCGAAGCTCCGAACCCTGACCCCCTGCTGTTGGAACTTCCTCTCCTCCTCCTCCCTGTTAAAGTCGCGGTAAAATAATATCACTGTTTTTTTAGGTTCGGGATGAGGCCAGCGGCGAGCCCTGCAAGCATCATACCTTTCATGAAAATAAGCGCGGCCGTGTAGATGTCAAAGGCGGCGGAGGCAACATCGTCGGCGAAGGCGCTGTGGACAGGGCGGGGCAGCCGAAGACAGAGCAAGCGTAAAATCGGATCGAACCCCAGGGCGAACACGCTTCCCGAGAGCGGACATCCTTGCTTTATCCCGCGGAGGATCCGAAAAGAGCAGCGAGACACCCCGCCCAAGAGAATGGTGGTTGTAACCTTGGCATAGAGCGCATTTATCGCATTCAGCACAAACTCGGGGAAAATCATTTTCTCGAAGACGAAAAAGATCCAATCATGGCATAAACTGGGGAAGGCAATGTCCAGCAGGATTGCGCCTGCAGTCCGTCGCCACAGACGGCCTGCTCCTACGACCATGTGCGTCTAAAGCTCAATCAGGTTGTCTAGCGTGTTACGGTGTTTGACGAAGCCCCTTTGGATCCCAATAGTGGCGCCCACGCAAATCTCTTTCAGGCGGCAGTTGATCGCGACAGCGACAATTTTGTTGATCGGGTTGGAGAGGGAGATGGGACGGGACATATCAGGGGTCCTCCAGAGCTCGAACCCGTCGCGGTCCAGGGAGCCCTTGGGAAGGAAGACCGAGTTGCTGAGGTTGAAATCGCCCGGAACCTGGCCGAAACCCATGATGCGCTGGTACATGGCGAAGGCGGCCCACCTAACGAATCAATTTCCTTTGGGCCAGGCAGAGTAACATAGCCCGTCAGGGCCAGGGGCGGTTTCGTGAAGCCGATCTAAAACTCCGTAAAACTGCTCTTCAGAAAGCCTCCAAATCTTGGCCTCCCTAACTTTCTGAATATGTTCCTCTAGCTGGTCCCTCGCGGCAATCTGAGATGAAACAGAGGCGTGAACTTGGCTCCAGTGAGCGGCGAGAGCACGAGCCCCAGCCTCAGCATTCGCGAAAACGTTCCCATCGGCATTCGTGATGCCCGTGAGGAAGATTCTCCGGTTCTTCGGAGACCAGGCCGATACCAATCTCTGAAGACGTGCAGCTCGGCATTCATAAGACTGGGGGGGTTCCGCGGTATGTCCGATGATTTCCTCATATTCTTTTTGGTACCGAGCGGCAGCAATCTTGGCCATATACTCTTGAAAGGCTGACTGTTTGTGCCACCTGCCACTGTCAGGGTCGAGAAAGTTGAGCAGCGCGGGGATGGCCTTGACGGCCTTCTTCAGCGCGCTTGTCTCGTGGCTCCGCATGGCGCGATTCACCGCGAACAGCCGCTGCAAATGCTGCTCGGCGGAGCTGGGCGGAAGCTCAGAAAGGCGATGCTGAACGAGACGGCCTGCTTCGCGCATAAGACACGTGAGTTCTTCAATCATCAGCGGCGGATTATCTTCGCATACCCCGTGCTCGTTGATCAGCTTTTCGAGCAGGACCGGGTACAGAGGGTGACGAGAGACCCACGAGGCGACGGCCCGAGTGCGGTTGTCTCCACCTCCGTTCAGATGCAAGTACACCGGTGCGTGGTCGCTCGGGAGGTCGGCTTTGCAGATGTGCCTGGAGGTCCCAGAGGTCGGTTTCAAATCCAGGAGATCCCCAGTGAACATATTGGTGTAAATACGGTCGATCCTGGATACGCTAACCACATTCCCATTTCGAGTGGTGTGGTGGGTCGGATTCTCTTGGTAGCATTCCATAGCGTTGGGCAATAAAGACCAGGACTTGTGAGCGAGGGAGTCGGGGCTGTTGATCTGCACAGAGCCGTCTACTCGCCGGGTACCCTCGCCCAGCTCGCAAAAGTTGAAATCTCCAACAAAGAAGAAGAGGCCCTGGACAGTATGCACAATCGGCGCACAAGCGAAGGATCCTGATCTTCTCTCTGTGGCGGCAACTCGGGTCGAGATGGAAGTTCAAGATGGTAAGCGAGAAAGAGTCGGACTGGGTAGTGACAGCATGGAGACGCCCAGGAATAATCACAACATGTTGATGTTGAGGAAGCAGAACGAGAAGAGAGCGAGCAAGCATGATCGCGTTCCCGCCAGCGTGGCTGTCGGGGCAGAACGTACAGAAGATTCATAGCCAGGGAATTCGGTACGCAACGATTTGCGATCCCCTTCACGGCCGTGCGTTTCTTGTAAGCAAATGATAGTGTTTGCTCTAGTTAGGCTAGTAAGTCGATCGAAGGTCTTGACCTGAGTGTCGTGGTCCCCAGAGACCGCGCCGAACAGGGTATGACAGTTCCAGGTAGCAATCCGAATACCTCGACCATTGGCCAGGGACGGCGGAAAAGAGAGGCGAGAACTCGCTGGGTTCTCAGGCGAAGGCGGCTGGGCTCCAAAAACAGCATTCGACAGAACAGGTGAGCAGCGGGCAGAGGGCGCGGGGGCAGCGGGGGGGGACGCGGGCAACAGATGCAGCGAAGAAGCGGACAAATACGAACAACTTGCACACGATCCTAGGCTGGCGTCACTTCAGTGCTGCTGGACGGAGGCCTGGGCCTGCTCGACCATCCAGTTGGCGGTCGCCTCGGTGATGTTCCAGTAGGAGAGCTGGTCGCTGATCGGCTTCAGCTCGTACATGCCTCCAGGAGCGTCGGACAACTTGAAGATCTCCCAGTGGTCGTTCTCGGTGGTGGTGCTGAACGCGCCTTTGAGACGGTTGGTGCCGATCTTGACCGACGGGCTCCACTTGCCTGCGTTCCCGAGGTGCTTGCGGACGAGCGGCCAGAGAGCACTCAGGACGCGGTTCTTCTGGCGGGCTTGCAGTGGCACATCTCTGCGGCAGCGAAGTGGATGAAGGGAGGCGTTGCGGTAGTCCTGCCGCGTCACGGGATTCGCGAGGAACCAGTCGTGGAAGTCGCGGGCCTTTTGCTCGGAGATGAAGGTGACGGCACACGCTTGTGAGACCTGGTGGAAATGTCCTGCCACCCCTTCGCTACTGGTGGCAGGAAGTCTGCTTTTCATTTGGTTGAAGACTGTGCGCCTGTACGGCTCGGTGACTGGGCGAGGAAAACCACCGATCCAACGTCTGGTCGGGTCGATCTGGTTGTGTTCGTCGCTGACGGGGTCGATCACGGTGATCTCGGAAGAGCTGGTGCCGACGCTGGTGCCCATTCCCAGGCGTCGGGACTTGGACGGCGGACGAGTTGAAGCAGAGCCTGCATCAGACGGAGCACGTTGAAGTTCAGCAAGGGGCGCTTCGAGCCTGGCCATCTTCTCATTCATCTGGCGTTGAATCTCGAGCCCTGCGTTTTTGGCGGTGTGGATGCCGTCCTCGGTGTCGAAGAAAGCGGCGTTGGTGGCGGCTTCTTGATGGGCATGCTCGAGTCGAGAAGCTCGTAGGTCCATGTCGAGTACAAGGGCTTCGTGAGCGTTCTTGGCCTCTTCGAGCTTACCCTCCATGGCGAGCTCGAGATCGGAAATCTTCTCCTCGAGTCCTTCTGCAACGGCGAGACGCTCTTTGACATCCTGGATGTCATCCCTTATGGCGTTCATGCTGCCGTTCATACCTTCGAAAAACCTGGAGCAGCTGAGCGTTGGATACCTCGGCGGCGGCCATTGCACTGCCAGGGAGCGAGACAAGAAACTCGTGGGAGAAATCAGGTGGCAAAATGCCTCAGTGCGCAAAAAAGGTCAACCCCCGACCCTTGTGTCGCGGGCCGAGTAGGGAGCAGCCCTGCTCTGACATGGCCAGCTGCCTTGAGCCAAAATGGCTTGAGCCAAAATGGCTACGGACCTGAGGAGGAGGAGGGGGAGGAGGAGGAGGAGGAGGAGGAGGAGGAGGAGGAGGAGGAAGGGGGGGAGGAGGAGGGAGGGGGAGGAGGAGGTCTTAGGACCAGTCCTATTCACCGCCGAGAGAAAAGGGGGGGAGACACCAACACTAAAGATCTCAAGTGGTTCAGACCACCGATTCGACCATTCTGTTTGCCCCCCCCCCCCCCCCCTTGCTGGACTGGCAGGTAGCCTCCCCAGCTACACCACGGGAGTGAGCTGGCAGTGCCGCGCGAGCACGGGGTGGGGCGGAACCCAAACATCCGACGTCATGACTTCCTCACAAGTCTGGACCTCTTCCCGTGGTGCGGTTGTTCACGTTGAATAACCAGATGCTGGTGCGAAGACCCCCCTGGGGATGATAAAGTGCGAGGTCCAGGCGGGATGATAAACTTTTCCCCGGAGATATCGATGTTAGGATGGGACGTTGCATGGTGCTATGCATGAGATGAAGACCGGAGCTACGATATGAACTTCGGAGGGGATATTGCAGCTAGGCCTCCCCGCCTGTTGTGGCACTTGAGCCGCATTCAATCCCGTCGATAAAGATACAAGGGTTAAGGGGGAATGGCTTATCATCTGCGGTGTAGTTTTTGATTGTCCTCGGGCCCGGTGAGGGCCCCAGAAACCGAAAATAGCCAAACCCCGTTCGTCGTGATTTTTTCGGCGCGAGAATGTCAGGGCATGGCGTCGAGTGATGTAGCGCAGCCGATTGCGTGCCTGCCTTGAGCGGCAGGCGCCTTTCCCAGGCCCAAGGCGGCGGAGGAAGGGCCCCTGGCAACCGAGCCCGACCCTTAGGGCCAGCCGGCTCCGCAGCACCTGACGGGCAAAAAGCGGGCGGACCAATGCAGCAACTCAGAAACGCGATGCCCTGATCTTTTCCATGCGGGGTCCCCGGGAGTCCCGACCCTTTCGCCAGGGGCGGCGTCTCATCGCATGCCGTTTTCTCAACGAGTCCTGGCCTCTGCCGTCGCGCTTTCCTGTTTCAGCGCCAGGGGCACGTCTGGGATCCCAGACCCCCGACGTCGTGGAGGTCTGGGATGTGAGCGTGGGACCAGCGCCGATCCGAGAAACCAGCGCAGACCTCAACATTTGTTTTTCCTGGATAGCTCGTAGAGAACTAAAAAGGTTCCAGATTGAGAAGCCGTAGCCGCAGGGTAGCCCCAGAGATCGTTCTGGCGTCGGTCCAGACACCCCAGCGCAGGTTGCTTGAGCTTGTCACGTGTCCCGAGAGGTCTTTTCAAAGCGTTTCCCACTACGCGTGCCCGCAAGCTCTCCAGAAGGTCCTTCGGAAGCTCTCTCCAAATTCTTCCAGAATTCGTCGAGAGGCCTTCCGCGTCCTTCTGGCGCCCTGCTATCAGGGTTTGGGATCCCGCAAGTGATACCATCATCGGGGGCGGCCAAGAGGGGGGCGTCCAAGAGGGGGGGGCGCAACTCATGGCCGGCGGCACGTACGCGTCCCAAGGAGGGAGCCGGGGACGTATTGAAACCAGAAGAGGCGCCATGAAATTTGGGGAGATATCATGCCCCCCGCAATGCTGTCCCCCACCCCTATGACGAACCAACAACACACACCGATACCCATTGGGGGATCAGAAAGGGCTATGGGTGCGTGTTGCCGGAGGGGGGTCCCCGCTCGAACAGGAGCGTTCCCCAGGGTCCGACAACCCGCACCCCTACCCACAGCCAGTCCTCCTCCCAACGACCCCCCTATGGGTATGGGTGTGTGCTGATCGTTCGTCACCCTAGTCCTCCCCCCCCCCACCCACCCTAGTCATCACCCCCACCCTCCTCCTCCTCCTCCTCCTCCTCCTCCTCCTCCACCTTTTCCTCCTCTAGTCATCACCTCCCTCTTGGCCTCCCCCCGACATGATTGGCTCCTCGATGCCCCCAGCTTCTCACGGCTCGAGGGGCCTGGCCTGGACGCGCAGGGCGCCCCGCGGCGCGGGCCGCCCTCCGGAGGCCCAGAGACCTGACGGGGGCTCCTCGGCTTGCAGTGGGTCGGGCGCGTGCTCCTACAGGGGGGATTTTGCATAATAAATAAAAGATGAGCAAAAGCAATCCAAAATGACCAAGAATTCTCCACAAATCGTCCATGGACAATTTTTCTATTAGAGCATTGTTGCATACTCCTCCCGTAGAGGGACATGCCCGACTTCACCCTCGGCGGGAGGGGCGGAGCTCGGAGCAGCCCAGCCGCGTCACGGCACGCGTTGCTGCCTCTGCACGCTTCTGCTTAGGCTCGCGGATGCTCGATCGCAGCCCAGCTTCTTGGCCGGAGCCAGGTGTGGGCCCGACGCGGGGCTACAAGCTGCGTGCCGCTCTGCCGCGCCAGCGTGCGGTCCGAGAGGGCAGAGCGAGCGCGAGGAACACGCAACGCCACACGAGGGCACATGGATGCGGCAGTGTGGAAGCAGGTGCGGGCCTGCTCCAAAGTTGCCACGCACGCGGACGGGAGCAGGGAGCATGAAGGAGGGAGGAAGGACTTGGATTGGAGCATGGGCCACGGCAAGAGGAAGGATGGCGGAGCGCGGCCGAGGAGAAGGCATGGCGTGGAGGATGGGAAGCCCTAGAACTCCGACGTCGTTTTCTTTTGTTATTTCAAAACGTGGGCCCCTGAAGACATGGACCCCGTCCCTGGAGCATCATTTTCACCCCCGATCGATTTTTTCCGGGCCCCGGGCCCCGGTGAGGGCCCCTGCAGGCAGACAATTCACGAACGCCTCCCGTCGTGGCTGCTTCACGCCGAGAGGAGGTGGGAAGGAGGGGGGAGGGCGGAACGGCGAAAAAGGCGGGGAGGGGGGCACTCTTCGCGACCTTGCCAGGCACCATGATGGCCTCCAGGGACCCCCCCGAGGCAAGGGGGTCAGCCTGCGGGCAGGGCGCGCCGGGCAGGCGGGGGTGTCGGGTACTCCTCCGCCAGGCAATCCCGTGCCCGCGCCACTATCGGCATCGGCCTCGGCCTCCTCCTCCTCCTCCTCCTCCTCCTCCTCCTCCTCCTCCGCCTCGCGCCCGTGGGGGTCTGGTGCTGGGGATTCTTGGCCATTGCGCGTCGCTGAATGGGGGGGGGGCGCTAACTGGAAGGGGGGAGAAAGGGGCAATTTTCAGGCCCGAGGCCCTAAACGGCCCCTCGAGGGAACCCAAAGGGTCCTTTTGACCTCGCTGCCCCCCACGTTCATCGCCCCTCCCCCCCCCACACTAATACGCGACGCCCACGTTCCCCCTTCTGGGCTGCTCTGCGGGGCCCGCTGGGGCTCGGGCGTGGGCCTCTGGGTCCTTCTTCGTCCTTGGCACGTCGCCCGGTGCATTCACAAGCTGTTCCATCCCCCCCCCTCGCGGTGGGCCCCACGCGGCGGGGCTCCGCTGGCGCGGATCGTATCACCAGAGCCCTCTGAGCCTGCCCGTCCCCTTCTCTTCCTTTTGACCATCCGCTCCCCTTTGCCTCCCGCCCCCTCTCCTTCTCCATGCCCCCTCCTTCAACCTGAAACTGAGGACACCAGAAAACACACCCTGATGATTACTGAGCTCTCCCAAGCAGCCGCCAATGCTGGCGCCATCCCGAGTGAAGGGAGGACCCGGGAGAAGCTCTCGGGATCAACGTGGGCTCTCATCTCCTTCGCCAACTGAAAGCTGGACTGCATGGCAAAAGCTTGCGCCAATGACGACAAGAGATGCTCGACCCCTCGGTCCGCAACTCCACTGCCCGTCGCTCGCGGTGGATCTCTGGCGAGCTGCGGCACGGGCGGCTGTCCCCCCGTGCGCGCACGCGTGGCGCATCGACGCCAGGGCACGGCCTGGGCTCCGGGCACGCCGCCGTGCCTGTGAGCAGAGGCGTGTCCTGACCCCACTCGCCTGGGCTCCCAGACCCCCTGGCGTTGTGACGAAAGTCGCGACGGGAGGTTGGTTCTGCGCTATTTTGTTCGGCCTCCGGGGGCCCTTACCTGGCCGCAGGATCGCCAAAAAACAACTCGGGATGAAAACCCGGTCCCAGGAAGGGGTTCAGACCTTTGGGTGTCGACGTTGTGAAACATCACGACGTCGGGGGCCTGGGATCGAACTCAAGGACCACATCCCAGAAGTAATCTCGAGCACCCAGAACAAATCTGAGCAGCGTCTGCCCGACACGCCGGCGAAGTGTCGAGCGAGTAATTATCACCTCCATGGGCCCGACGCGTGAAAGCCCTCCTTCTTCTGTACTTTCTTGGTGGCCGAAATTGTTTCTGTCGATCAAGGCTGCAGTATATAATTAACAAGGAGACGCAAGACTCGGGTACGGGGGACTCGGGTTGGCCTGACGGGGCCATCATAAAAATGACGAGACCCAATCTGAAATTTGACGCGAACTCCCTCTGCAACCATCCCACGAAAACTGAACCGTCAAAATCCAAGACGCGCTCTCCAAAGAACGTCGGCAAAACCGAGTTCCGGCTTGTCTTACGTTTCCCCGAAACGAGGGTGGAACACCATAACTATGGGACCGTCTGTTCGTACCCCGGGCAACTATTTCACGCCCGGAGCCCGGCGAGGGCCCGCATGAGGCCCCAAGCGCAGTACCGAAAATCTCCCGGCGCAGGTGGGGCTCCCGCACCGCCCAGCCAGGCGCAGGTCCGTGCGCGCTTGCCACGCTGCCGGGGCGCGCTTTCCCTGCGCGCGCGCAGGCTGGCGCCGCGCGCGCGCAGTCCCCGCCCGAGCTGGCGGCCCCGCCCTCGAGACGAGGGGGTGGGCGGCGGAGGGCGCAGTGGGCCGCCGTGGGGCGCTGGAAGCTGGGGAGAGCCCAGACCCCCTCGCGCTGTGAAACAATCACGACGGGAGGTTCATCGCTCTTTTGGAACTCCGGGGGCCCTTGCCGGGCCCAGGGGCTGTCAGAAGACGATTCAGGATGAGAAACCGATCTGCGGGAAGGGGTCCAGGCTCCTGGGACTCACGTCATGAAAATGGGTCTGGCTGGCGCCGCGCCGGTACTACACGGAGCGCCAGGTGAGTTGGGCCACGTGGAACGAGGACCAGGCGGGTTAGTAGACCCAGACCCCCTCGCGGTATGACAAGAATCACGACGGGAGGTTTTTATCAATTTTCGGCCGCCGGGGGCCCTCGCAAGGCTCTCGGGACCGTCAAAAAATCATTCAGGAGGACACAAAGGGTCCCCGAGAGGGGGTTCCAGACCTCTGGGGGTCGACGTTGTGAAGAAATCACGACGTCGGGGATCAGGGGGGCTAGTACTGGGAAGGCACGGAGGTTGCTAAGCTGATAGCTGATCGGGGGCTTTATCAGTGGGCGCCAAGGCGGGTTATACCTGGCCTAGCCCAGCTTATGAGTGGGTTACTCATGCCCAGAGTGGCTTAGGGGGATTAGACAACTCCGTAAGTGGGCGGAGCCCACTTAGCCTGGATCGCTATCCCCCAGACACACTTGGGGCATTAGCCCACTTGGGCAGACCCCCCAGCCGGCTCCAGCCCAGAATCCTCTTCGGGGCTACCTGGGAACGCGGAGCGGGCAGGGGGAGGAGGGAAGGATTCTTAGAGGAGGCTACTTCTGAGAAGGCGCGGGCCCCACATCTGTGGACCAGGCCCGCGCCTTCTAGGAAGACGCGCTGCTCCCGAGAACCCAGACCCCGAACCCAGCGTCGACCCTCAAGTCTCGACCCATTCTCCTGGACCGGTTTTTCATCCTGAGTCGTTTTTTGACGGCCCCGTGGGCCGGGAAGGGCCTCCAAAGGCCGCAAATCTGGAAAGCACTTCCGTCATGATTTTTGCATTACCCGAGGGGGTCTGGGAAGCCTTCCCCGCTCCACCTGCCCCCCCTCTGAGCGTGGCCGACAGGGAGCCGGAGCCGCCTCCTGGATGGCCAGCTGCACGCACCGCTTCTTCATGGAGGCGCCTGGTGCGAGGTGTCCGCCCCGCAACTGCCCTTCCTCGCACCCACTCCTCCTCCGCATCTCATCTCGTCTCGTGTCGCCTCCTCCCTCCCTCTCCTCCTCCTCCTCCTCCTCCTCGAGCCCCCTCCTCCTCCCCCTCCTCCTCCTCCCCCTTCTCCTCCTCTTCCTCCTCCTCCTCCTCCTCCTCCTCCTCCTCCTCCTCCTCCTCTCCTCCTCCTCCTCCTCCGTCTCACTCCAACCGCCTCCTCCATCCCCTCCTCCTCCTCATTCGTCCTCTCTCCTCTGCCTTCCTTCTCGTCCATCCTCCTCCCCCCCTCCTTCTCCTCCACTATCACGGCCCTCGAGCAGGCTCCCAATTCATGATGGCGTGAGAATCCGTCTGATGCTGTTGTCGCCCCCCAGGGCCAGTCGGCCCTGAGGGGAATGTCAAACAAGCAGGACGTCGGAGTTCTGGTCGAGGCCTGCAGGGACACGTCATACGAGCGCTGTTCGGAACAGGGGGGCTGGGCCTCGGCACCAGAGTTCGGCAGGCTCGTGCTCGCACCTTTGGGCGCGAACTCATGGGGGGGGGGGGGCGATACATGGGGGGAAAGAGGTGCCCCCTTCGGGCCCCAAAGACCCCCGCTGGCCCTAAAAGCTGAAGGGCCCCTTCAGGCGCCCTCAAGGGCTCCTTCTCTGCAGCCCGCGGCTGCCCCCTCATGTAATTATCGCCCCCCATTGCGCACCCTCCAAGCACCTGGGCCGCAAGCCTGGGCTGGGCAGCCAAAAGCGGGGGCTGCCACGGCATGCCCCCATCCAGCCAGCTGCAGCGGAACGGGCTGCGACCAGCGCTGTACGCTTGCGACAGGAGCCCCCGGGTGAACATGGCTAAAGTAAGGGCGCCGCCTGATTCGAATGACCAACTCAGCTGTGTGCCCTCACAGCCGCTTCGCACCAGTGCCTCTCCTAAGATGGGAGAGGTGACAAATGGGCAGAAGCGGGGGCGGACTCGCTGAGCACGAAAGCTGGACTGCTGTCACGTTCTCCACCTCCTCTTCCACACTTTGTCATCCTCGCTCTCTTCCCACTTCTCATCATCATCTACATCCGCCCCCTCCCATCCTACAACTTCTCCTCCTTTACCTCCTCCTCCTCCTCCTCCTCCTCCTCCTCCCTCGCTTCATACTCGTCCCCTCCTCCGTCCTCCTCCTGTGTCCTTTCCTTCGCCTTTATCCACCCTCCCTCGCCCCCTTCTCATCCCACCCTGCCCCCTGCCGCCCCTCCTCTTCAGATCCTCGTCATCCCCGTCGCCGTCCTCCTCCTCCTCCTCCTCCTCCTCATCATCATCAACATCATCAGCATCATCATCCTCCTCCTCCTCCTCCTCCTCCTACTCCTCCCCCTGTTCCTCCTCCTCCTCCTCCTCCTCCTTTTTGTCCTCTCTATCCCTCCTCCTGCACCACTGTCGCGCATGCCAAGAACGTCCTGTGCTGCTTCCGTCGCGCGGGAGTCGTAGGCAGCAGCATCCAACAAACAATCTTCCTGCACAACATGCTCCAGCGGCGCCCGCCTACGGTGGGAAGGTACAGCTTGAAGAACGGGTGCCTCTGCATCACGGGGAGGTGCTGCGCCTGGCCCCCGGGAGAGGACTTTCGGGGGGGAGGAAAGGCTCCGTTGGCAATCCACCGAAGAGGAGGAACGGAAGAAAAGGGGAGGAGGAGGAGGAGAAGGAGGAGGAGGAGGGAGAGAGAAGATGGTGATGAGGAAGAAAGGGGGGAGACACGGGCATTTTTGTTAACATCCACGCGGCTCTATGATAGGATCGTGCGGCGTCGGTAAGCACAAAGGTCTTTGACACTACTTCAATCGTTGAACCTTGAATCGATCGTGGCCCCGATCGTTCAATCAAAATTGAATTCCGTCGGGTCCGGTGTCGTCGCCGTGCCCCTCGGTGCTTCCGCGTCGCAGAATTCGACCCTGAACGCCTTCGCCGGCGCCGCCGGCGCGCCATCGCCTGGACCTGTACCCACGC